AAAAGAAATGAAGAGTAGTTCTTAAAAGGCATTTGGAATATCCTATTAATGTATCTAAAAGTGACCAAATTTCAAGACCAGTTTAATATATTTGAAAGGGCTCTTGGGTAAAACCTGGCAAAGAAGATAATGGAGGAAGTGCCCCAAATACCTACTCCAAAACCAGCCTTGGGAACACAATTGGTAATAAAGCCTTTCAATATTAGGGAAATAAGTGTTTTTACAAAGTGTAACGAAACAATTCAAGGCAAACCCAAAACACAGTTTTTGTTATAAATAAATGCATAAGGATCTGTTTATAACATAAGTAATAAAAATGTTTTAGATATGATTATTTTGTCCACTGTTGTATCCCCAGGAACTAGAGTGATTCCTAGAACTGGCAAATGGTAGGCCAATAAGTAGTTGTTGAAAGAATGAATGGTTATTTCTGTACCATCATTAAATTGTTAGTAATAAAATTCAACTTTACAGCCATTTATGTGTGATGATAATAGTAGCCTTTAGAACAAGCATGTCAAACTCGCAGCCCACAACAAATATTTTTGCAGCCCAGCCAATATAACGGTATGTAAGAAACATTTTAATAAAAATTCTGTGACTTAATTTGTATAATATCTTGTTATGCATAATCTTATATAATAAAAGGATAATATGGAAATTGATCCTAACAGCGGAATGACCAGTCGCTAATGACGTGCACTGACCACCAGGGGCCATAGCTCAATGCGGGAGCTATCCCCTGCTGGTCAGTGTTCTTCCACAAGGGAGCACCGCTCAGCCAGAAGCCAGCTCATGGATGGCCGGCGCAGTGCTAAAGAGGTCCAACTAACGGCTTAGGCCCGCTCCCAGTGCCGCTGACTGGGGATCAAGCCCGCAACCCAGGCATGTGCCCTTGACCAGAATCCAACCCGGAACCCTTCAGTCTGCAGGCCAACGCTCCATCCACTGAACCAAACCAGCTAGAGCATTTCATTTATTTTTAAATTTATCACAATATCAGGTCCCGCTACAAATAATTTTTTAAAAAGATTTTAAATGTGTTTCTCACATATACAGATGGTCCCCGACCTGTGGTGATTTGATTTAGGATTCTTCACTTTATGATGATGCAAAAGTGATACACGTAATAAATTACATGAGATATTCATCACTTTATTATATAACAGGTTTTGTTTAGGTGGCTTTGTCCAACTATAGGCTAATGTAAGTGTTCTGAACGTGGTTAAGGTAGGTTAGGCTAAGCTATGATGTTTGATGCATTATGATATGTTCAGCTGAGGATGGCTTTGCTGAGCTGTAACCCCAGCGTAAGTCAAACATCTGTATGTGTTTATGTTTCCCTTCATTTTCTGGTGGAAAATGGTCTGTCAACTAGGATCTCTAACAGAAAACTCTTGTTTCAGTCACAAGTAGCTATTTGATAGCTGTTCCCCTCCTCATGGGCTTATGAGACCTTTTTCTTCCTTCCCACTGAACCTCAGGAATGGTGTCTAGGTAAGTGCCAAGTCAAAGAAGCAAGAAATATTTAAATTCGGCTCTCCAGGCAGCTTTCTAAGTGTTGAGAATAGACTGTTGTTGAAGAATGCGGTCTGATTTGTTAAGGTTGCCCTCTTTTCCTGAAGTCCACCGCATTTTGGTTATTTATACATTTTAAAAACATATGAACATCTTATGCAAGTGCATTGTTTTGCGGTTATCCTTCATGTATCCAGACAGCATTTTGAAGCAAGTTCCACTCTCCAGCAGAGCTTCTCTATAGCCAGGATGGCCGCTGAGAATCCCGTGCCTCACTCAGGAGAGCCCCTCAGGTTTCCACAAGCTGCCTAAGTAGTCGTTGAGACTAGGTGGCTATGGATCTGCAAGCTAACAACAGTGTTTTTACACTTTGGAACTATTATGAATTCTTTAAACTATACAGAAAATAATAAACAGCTTGCCATGTGCTCACCACCCAAAGTGAACAAATGTGAAGATTTTTGCCAACATAAAAATTTATAAACAAGGACTTAGAGCTGGTAGGAATAAAATGTAAGGCAGGACGGAGGGAAGAGGATGGGGGTGTGCACCCTAATCTGAGCTAGAAACTACAAGAGGAGATAGAGCTCGGCTGGTGTGGCTCAGTGGTTGAGCATCAATCTATGAACCAGGAGGTTATGGTACAATTTCCAGGTCAGAGCACATGCCTGGTTTGCAGGCTCCATCCCCAATAGAGGGCGTGCAGGAGGCAGTTGATCAATGATTCATCATTGGTGTTTCTATCTATCACTCCCTCTCCCTTCCTCTCTGAAATTATATATATATAAAATATTCAGAGAGGGAGATAGAAACATCAATGAAGAGAGAGAATCATTGATTGGCTGCCTCCTGCACCCCCCCCCCCACTGGGCATCAAGCCCACAACCTGGGCACGTGCCCCGACTGGGAGTGGAACTGTGACCACCTGATTTTTAAACCGTATAAACTTGATTTGTTTACTTAAACAAATTCGTTACACACTAGCTTTCCTTCTCCAGCAGTAGCACAAATAAAGCATAATTTCATCTTTTATTTATGATTCGGGATAATAAGTAAAACATATTGTCCCATTAGTCTAAGAGTCAGCTCTTAAGGGCTCTGCAGGAGGAGATGTGCTAGCCTCTGATCCAAATGGGCCCAAACAATTACAGATTTTCAGTCCCTGGAGGTCTTGTTTAGAGTTTTTCTCTTCTTAAAAAAAAAAAGATTGATTCTATTCTCATCATTGAGGTTTCTATCTCTCTCTCTCCCTCTCCCTTCCTCTCTGAAATCAAGAAAAAAAAATTTTTTTAAAGTAAAAAAAAAAAAAATCAAGTTTCAGTACCCAATGGGGGTAGATCTCAGTTTTATGGAATATTTGACACATTTCCCTCGGATGCCTATAGGATTGAGAAGAGTTAAAAAGTTTTCACTGGGAACACAGTTGTCTTTGAATTTTTTGATAACTCTTTTTTTTAGGTAAACTTTTTATTGAAGAAAAGTACTTAAATCATAAATGATGTCTTTTTATAACATGAACACACTCATGAACCCAGATCATGAAACACTATTCCAAGTGCACCAGAATCCCCCGGTAACCCTTATAACTCCTCTCAGTCATGATAATCACGCCTGATTTCAACATCAGAGATTAGTTTTGATTTTGGAAATTTTTAATGTAATATCATTCAAATTGGGGAGAAAAGGCTTTGTGATTTACTCTTCATAACTTGCTTTTGAAGCAAACACATTTCAGTGTATTATCTACAAGATCTTCAAGTTCCCTCCCTCATCTGAGATTCCTTCCCCTAGGGTGGAGCTTGGTTGATACGATGATTATGACACCTCGTGCGGAAGCTTTAAAGAGGCTGACTCCACATCTGTCTTTGTGGGTTTAGACATGTTTCTGTCTGAAAATGGAATCCCTTACATTTTTATGATTTTATGAAGTTTCATATATTTAATTCATAAATATCTTTGGTGGGAAGAAGCTTTTATTTTTCTTGCTAGAATGAGGAAATCTACATGATACACTGCTGATGTAGTGGGATCCATCTTCCAAGGAAGCATTCTTTAAACTTTTTCAACTGGCCATACATCTCCAGGTCTCTGCATTTTCTCTGACATGGACTAAAGAGGTGGGGTGAGGCAGGTATTGTCTTCAGCACAAAAAGTAGTTGCAAGCTGGCCGTGTAATCCACTATTTAAATCAGGGCACTTAAAAAAAAACACCTGTTTTAAAAATCTTCTTTGTTGAAATTTAATCTATATGCCAAAAAGTGTACATGTAAATGTATAGCTTGATGAATCTGGGTATGTAGCCAGCACCCAGACTGAAAAAGAGGATATTAACAGAAACCCCTGTGTATTCCCTTTCAATTGCTATAACTCTTCCTCACAAGGGCAACCACTAGCCTGACTTTCCTTATTGCGTAGATGAGTCTTACCTGGGTTTATACTTCATATAAATTGACTCATACAACACATACTTGTTCATATCTTGTTTCTTGGGATTGATCCATTTTGTTGGATGATGTTCTAGTTATAAATTATTTGTTTTCTTTGCTCTATTAAGTGATGTGAATGAATATATCACACTTTATTATTCATTCTATTGATGGGCATTTGGGGAGTTTCCAGGTTGGACCATTACAAATAGTTCTAATAATATCCTAGTGCATGTCTTTTGGTGAACATGTTTCTTTGGGGTGTATACCTAGGAGTGGCATTGCTGGATTCTAAGGTATGCCTACTTTTAGCTGAAGTAGATACTGCTAAATTCCATAGTCTTTGTTCTCATTTAAGCTCCCATCAGCATAACATGAGAGTTTTGATTGTTTCACATCCGCTTCAATATTCCGTATCGTCATTCAGATATGGGGTAGAGGTATTCTCAGTTGATTTTAATTTGTATTTCTCTGTTGAATAATGAAGTTTATGTCTTTTTTATGTTTATTAGCCACTTGGATAGACTCTTTTGTCTTATTTAAATCTTTTTGCATATTTTTCTCATCCTTAGTCTGCCTTTTTCTTATCAAACTAAAACATTTCTAGAAAGAAACCAGGTCACAAGATTAAGAATTTAGTTTTGGATGTGTGAAGTCTGAGATATTTAGGAGGCATCTATATGGATGTCAAGAGGCTGTTGGATGATGTGGGTCTGGAGTTCAGAAGAAAGTTTTGAGCTGGAGGTTAAAGTTCCGGAGTCCCTGCCATGTAGGTGGCATCTCAGTGAAAGAATGAATGAGGTCACCCACAGCAAGAGCAGGAGGACAGCCCTGGGACTGAGCCTGGGGGCACCAAAGTTTGGTCACAAGTTGGGAGTAAAGAAGAAGCCAGCAAAAGAGCCCAAGAAAAACCGTTGAAAGGTGGGAAGAGGGTAGAAGCAGAAACCAAGAGGAAAGGGTTCCATGGAAGGGAGTGTTCAGTGTGTCAAACTGTGCATCGTGTGGATTTAAAAAAACACACACCCACATTCTGTCCCCCCTTGTCTCCCTGTAGCCATCATTGTATACAGACTGCCATGGACCTGGAAATGCAGCAAGCTCCTGATGAAATCCATCCACGCGGGGTTACACTTCGTTGCAGCCATTCTTGCCATTATTTCTCTGGTGGCTGTCTTTGACTTCCACAATACGCTGAACATCCCCAATATGTACAGTCTACATAGCTGGATTGGACTGACAGCTGTCATACTCTTCATGTCACAGGTCAGTGTCTCAGTAAGTTTATAAACAAGGTGTAAAAAGTAAAGCAGTTCAGATACTGTAGATGTTTTCTATATGTTAATATTTTGTTGGAAATCATCTTCTCATTCCCACTAGTCCTTGTTCCACTTGTTTCCATTATAAGTATTTCCCCTTGCGGGGGCTTGGGACCTGCAGTATTCACAGCCTGTGAGCCTGAATGTGAGATTCTAAATGTGGGCATATGTATCTTCAGGGAAATTGCCCACAGATCACATCTAGACTGCTGTTGCTGGGACTTCCAAGTTTCATGTGCTGAATAAACTAGCACAGACAAGAGCTATAGCTTTCTTTTCCACATTCAATCACATCTGTTTTCTAGATTTAACTTTATGCATGAAAAGATGAATTTGTATCTCGTTGATTCTTTGAGTTTGAAGACTCAGTGTTTATTTTATTTTTCCTCTGTCCTCACTTACTAAGAATTCATACTTTGGACAGCATTATATTTAAACATAAGTTATTGGAGAGTGATAGGGATTTGGCTGTTCTAGGTCACTAAAGAAAAGGTAAATTTTAAAAGTCCTTGTGGTGTTAACCACTTTGTTGAAAAATCTTTGTAAACTGTGTTGATTTACTTCCTTTCTTTAGTTAGTACAGTATACATTCAACTTCCTTATCTGGGACATCACTGTGAACTACAGTTTTCTGTAGAAAGAAAAGTAAGAAACTGGAGTGAATTTACAAAATATATGAATGTATGACCTCTCAAAAAAAGGACCTCTTACCAGGCATTTATTTGTCACTTTTCTGCTTAAGGCTTTTTGAATGTTAATTAAAGTTAATTATATGACACTATTAATTATTTAAGTTTGCATTACCATGCCCAGAGGTAGGGTCTGGGGAGTGGAAAGGTGCCAGACAGGAGAGGAGCACAGAGGAAACCTTACAGCAAACATGATCTTCCTGGTCAGGAAGAAGAAGGAAAATATCTCAAAGTGGATGGATAACAACTGCAGGGAATACTGACATGGGGACAGTTGCTTTGGGGAACCTCTTCACCCCCTGTCATTTCCTTAGGACTTTTTTCAGCTGCCTCTTCCACTTGCAGTGGTTGGTTCGCCTGGCGTTGCTCCACTTCCTTTGCGCCACCTCAGAATTCTAGAGCCCGAACACTGTGGGGAGCATCTACGCACCTTACGCAGTCCTTTAGTGACGTAGCCTTCATGGTGCTGAGGATGCCCAGGTTACACAGTCAATGGCACTTGGTTCTGTTTCCATGATGTCCCCATGATCACTCAGCCTCTTACCAGGCATTTATTTGTCACTTTTCTGCTTAAGGCTTTTTGAATGTTAATTAAAGTTAATTATATGACACTATTAATTATTTAAGTTTGCATTACCATGCCCAGAGGTAGGGTCTGGGGAGTGGAAAGGTGCCAGACAGGAGAGGAGCACAGAGGAAACCTCTAGAGCCCGAACACTGTGGGGAGCATCTACGCACCTTACGCAGTCCTTTAGTGACGTAGCCTTCATGGTGCTGAGGATGCCCAGGTTACACAGTCAATGGCACTTGGTTCTGTTTCCATGATGTCCCCATGATCACTCAGCTCGTGTTTGAGCATTCGCAGTGGAGGGCTGTATTTCTGAGGACGGGCGTGGAAATTACCCAAACCCTTTGTAGCTTCGCTGTGAAAGGGTTCTGTGCTCCTGAGCACAGTAGCTAAACAAATGCCTTTACTGAGTTAGTTATATGACAAGGCATTGTTTGAACATCTGGAAAGATGTGCATTATTTTTCTTTTTCTTTTCTAAACACATAAGCATTCCTTGAATAGTAGTAGTAGTAGTAGTAGTAGTAGTAGTAAGCTTTTAAAACTAAAAAGCTTTTTAAACCAGATATGCCTTCTCATGATTAAATTTATGCTTTTAAATCTGGATGATTTTTCTAAAAATTAATTTATACTCTGCTCTATATCTTAATATGTAAAATTAAGAAATATTTAGGGATTAGCAAAAAAGAGAATACTTATTCTAAAGTCTATGGGTCTTAGCTGAAATGGGGTTCTCAGAGAAATATAGGCGTATAAACTTTTTTTTTTTGGAAAGAAAACTTAAAATACATAAACTAAGTATTCACTTAAGAAACTAAAAAGAATAGCAAAATAAACCAAGAAAAGAAAAATAAAGATCCAAAAAAAAGCCATGAACAGTTGTGTTAGTGTTTATTATTGCTGCCGGAACAAATTACCACAAATGTAGTGGCTTAAAACAACACCAATTTATTACCTCACAGTTTCCGTATATCAGAAGTCCAGATTGGCTTGTCTGTTTTCTCTGCTTTGGGTCTCGCAAGGCCAAAATTAAGGTGTTAGCTGGCCTGGGCTCTTACAGGTGGACTTTGGGGGTACAATCAGCTTGCAAGCTAATTCAGGTTTTTGGCAGAGTCCACTCCCTTGCGGCTGTAGGACTGAGATACCTGGTTCCTTGCTGGCTGTTGGCTGAGGGTTGTCCTCAGCTCCTATAGTCCTCTCTGTGTTCCCCTCCATTAGCAATGGTGCACTTACTCTTTGACCTAGCAATGGTGCACTTACTCTTTGACCTAGCAATGGTGCACTTACTCTTTGACCTAGCAATGGTGCACTTACTCTTTGGTGGGGAGCAGAAATAACATATTGTCTGAACCGTGTCCAGCACGGTCAGGGGGGAACCTGAGAAGGGACGGTGAAGGATTAAAGAAGACAGACAAGAGAATACAGTTGGGGCTAGGTAGGATCATTGTGCCTGGATGAGGCGACAGTGACACAGCCTGTAAGCCAAGCTTTATTTTATAGTCAGATCACACAAAGCAAAACAAGGTGAGTGGTCAACATGTTTACAATCTTCTTGTGAGTTTCAAATCTATTTTGTTACTCAAGCCTTGTTTTGGTAGCACTTGCTGCACCTCCCACAGCCCATTAGCTACCCAGGAACAAGGGAGGCCTATAAGGTCAAGCTTAATTGTGCTAGGAGGGCTCTGCCCTCCAAGCTGGGACTTGTAGGTGGCTCAGCCACAGGTCAGTCTGAGACTTGACCCTATAGCTGCTCCCTACCATCATGGTATAAGGAACTCTAAGAAGGGTTTTTAGTGTAGCATTGTTTGTATAGGCAGGAAGCGGGAAGCAAAATAAATGTCCAAATAAAGAAATGAATGGTTAAATCATTTGTGGTAAATCCATATTGTTGGCAGTTATACAGCTATTACAAAGAATGTAGTTATATCTACTGATCAGCAGTGAAATCCATGGTATGCACGTCAGTGTAAACAATACTGAAGAGTAAAGTGTGTAGAAAATGGGAGAGGGGAGGAAAAAAGCATATAGGTATAGATGTTCAAAGAAAGGTATGGGAATATATACCAAACTGCTATAACTGTGGGGGTGGGTAGGGTCGGTTGGGGGATTATTAATTTTTAAACTATATCTTGTTTGACTTGAGTGTGTAGCTCTTTTGTTTGAAACAGAAGTAAGCCACATATGTTACATACAAACCACACATACATGACTTTTTAAGCTAAATTAAGCAAATGACATCTCACCACAGTTGTGAGCACTCGAGTCGTGCTTGTTGTCTTCTGGCTGTTCCTTCAGGAGCCAGGTGAATGGCTTCCTGTTCCTATTGTGGAAAAAATGACTACATTCCAGCTTTATTTTTGTGGTTATTGCATAAAAGCTGTTTTTCAGTATTTGCATTGCTTGTCCGTAGAAGTGACAGAACAGATCACCCAGGTGTGCTCAGGAAGAAATTAAAATGAAAAAACATTTCCTTTCCCAATGGAAAGAAACCAATTCTAAACTTGCTTTCTTCACCTTTGATAGGAGCCCAGCTCTGTCCTTATTACGATTCACAAAGATTCCTGCCTCCATATCCTTAGTTGAAAAAATACACGAGCCATAAAAATACAGCTTTGACAGAGATGTGTTTCTACCAGATTTCTTAGGTTAAGAGTAAAAAGGGGAAGTGGTTTCTCTTTCTGAACTAGAAGAGTTCTAAGCGGAGGTTCTCCTAGCTGCCACTGTGGGTGGAGAGCTGCAGCCTGCTTGTGGCTCGCTTACGCCCACTCTGCTGTGCACTTCACTCACAAAGTCTGGTTGTGTCCTTTGAGGAAGGAGGGAAGGTCAGGCAGGCAGGAAAACAATACAAGCAATACACTTCCTCCTGTATATCTATGGGTCATAAAGCATTTCAAGTGTAGAATTCTTTTCTACTTGTAAGATCTAGCCTCTGGATCACTATTTAAAAATAACAAACTCTTGTCCTAATCAGTGGTCAGCAAACGCATTAGTCAACAGAGCCAAATATCAACAGTACAACGACTGAAATTTCTTTTGAGAGCCAAATTTTTTAAATTTAAATTATATAGGTAGGTACATTGTTATTACCTTAATTAGGGTACTCCTAAGGCTTAGGAACAGCCACACTCAAGGGGACAAAGAGCCGCACGTGGCTCTCGAGCCGCAGTTTGCCCGACCACGGTCCTTGGTGGTTTGTTCAGTGGTTAGAGTGTTGGCCCATAGACTGAAGGGTCGCAGGTTTGATTCTGGTCAAGGGCACATACCTTGGTTGCAGGCCCCATCCCCCAAGTCTGTCTCTGTCTCTCCCCCTTCCTTCCACTTTCTCTAAAAATTAATGGTAAAATATCATCAGGTGAGGATTCAACAAAACACCTCTTGTATGTATATTGAAATTATGTATCATAATAAAATTGATTTCCATGATTCCACCATCAACCTAATTTGGAAAACATAGAATCCCGACCCACCTTGATCCCACATCTCTCCACCTATCCCAACCCCTGAAGGTAACCATTTTCCTGAAGTTTTTTTTTTCTTTTCTCACTCTCTGTTTTTCTTTATAATTTTATCACATACTGTGAATCCCTAAACAACATATTGGTTAGTTTTCCTTTAACTTTTAAAAGTCTCATAATATATGTAGTCTAATGTAACTATGTTTTAATTCTTTTGCAACCTTTCTTTTCATTGTACTGATGCAACTATCTTGTTTCCTCTAGCTCGTTCATTTTTACTTTTGTGTTCCATTATATAACTATACCACAAATTTACTTACTCATTCTCATGCTATTAGACATTTGGGTTATTTTCAATTATTCTCTGTGACATTTGACATTCAGATACACATTTCCTGGCTCTCATATGCAAAGGTTTCTCTGGACATATACTTAGGAGTGGAATTATAGACAGAGCCTAAAAAAAAAATGCTAAATTGTTTGATCCCAATTATGTTCCTACCAGCAGGGTCTCAGAGTTCCCATATGGCACATCCCTGTCAACATGCATCCTCTTCAAATGCCCCCGCGCCCCCAGGTTTAAACCTCCTTTGTTGACATAAAAGTATTACTCTTGTGTTCAAATGCTTTAATTATTGTAAGCTAGTGGGTATAAAATGATGTCTTCTTTTGGTTTTGATGTTTATTTCACCGATAATAAAAAAACACCTGTTCGTGTCTTTTGCCCATTTTAAAAAAAAGTTTCTTTTTTCCTTTTCTTAAACATTTGTAGTTCTGTTTCAAATTCCTTTTATATGTATGGCATATGTCTTCCAATTTGAAGCTTGTACTTTTCCTCTTTTGTTAGTATTTTTAAAATCAATTCTCAATTTTAAGAAAACACGAATCATGTTTTCTTTTAAGGTTATTATGTTTTGTTTCGGTGACTTGTTTATGAAAACCTTCTCTACCCTGAACTCAAAATGGGTTCTCAGGTTCTACTCCAGGCCTGCTGGGTCAGAAACTGTGGGGTGGGGCCCAGAAAAATGTGCTTTCACAGGCCCTCCTGGTGACTCAGACGCACACTAATGTTTGAGAACCACTGGCTATCAAGAGTCTTAAAGTTTTAGCTTTGATATTTAAGTACTTAATTCATCTGGAATTAGCTTAGTGTATGATGTGATGTTGTGGTCCAGCTTCGTGGGTTTTTTTTCCATATGGGTAAGCTGTTTCCCCAGCACCATTTATTGAATTGTCCTTGTCCTTGTTACCTACCTGCAATGCCAGATTTATCATATACCTTTTCCTCTGCACAGTATAGAATTGAAGAGTATAGAAGAATTGAGGTATATAGAAATATATAGATTTAAGAAGTACAGAATAGAAAGAGATAAACATCTTCATTTATTCTTATTTTGAAGAGAAAGATTCAATAGTTTACTACTGAGTAGAGGTGCTTCACATTTCTTCCTATTACAGTTTGGGAAATGGTTTTGTTTTTCTTTCCGAATCATAAATGAATGTAGAATCTTATTGAATGCTTTTCTGTGTCTGCTGAGATGACAATAGTTTTTTTTTTCTTTAATCTATGCATGTAGTTAATGACATCCATAACTTCCTAATGTTAAACTTGGGTGAATTAAATACATGTTTAATTGTCTTAAGGTTCCCTTTTTCTCTCTGAAATATCCAGATTCTTACCTTGTGCTGTTTTACCTGTGTGCTAACGAGGTTTCTCAGAAATGCCACTTCATAACGTCAGGACTGTGTTTCGCAGGCTGATGTGGGCCCCTGGCTTCTTCCTTGCTCAGATCCAGGGAGCAGGCCCTGTTTAACAACGCAGGACTTGGAATCAAAGTGACCTTGGTTTGAATCGGGTTCACCTACTTGTATATTTGTAGCTGGTGACATTGGACAAGTTACTAATCTTTTGTGGACTTAGTTTGCTTATCTATAAATGAAGTCTTGTGGTACATTCTTCACAACCTCATAAGAATCAAAGCCAAACAATACATGGAAAGGCTCAGTATAGGGCTTAAGATACTGGAACGATGCAGTCAGCTGTTGTTCTTAGAAATGCAAATCTTTGGTAGGCTCCTTTATGACCTGAAGATGGCATTTTTCATTTCCGCTATAGACCATATGCACCTTTGTGGTTGAGAACATGCCTTTTATGTCAGTGAAATTTTATTCATGAATCCAATAATTTATTCAACAGAGTTAACTACCTATTAGGTGTTGGATACCTTGTAAGGCGGTGGGTGACACACTGCTTCACAAGACAAGCATGGGTCCAAAGAGACATGAATCTTACAGGGAAAGACTGGCCACTGAGTATGTGGTAGACAGTGAGTATGTGAAGTGTTCTGGGAGAGATCTCGTATGGTGGAGGGGATACAGGAAGTCAGACCAAGATTTGAAGTCGTG